TAAAAAATGAGAATAAAAAAGTTTTACATATCTTATAAAGGTATACCTTTCACTACACCATATAAATTAGTACTCTTAAAGCATATTTCCACCTTTCCCCTTCATATTCATGGAGGTCACAAAATTGTTGGAAAATATTCTAAATTTTAATAGATAAGAAAACTGCTATTAATTGTGCGAGAACTAATATTAATTTTTTTTTTTCAATTTAAATTGAACTCATTATCAAACAATTTTTTTGCTAAATAATTTAATCCTTAAAATTCCTGAATAATTAAAAATTATTTTGATTACCTCAGCATTTTAAAGATATTCCATCAATTGCAATTGATTCACCTAAAAAAAAACAACAAGTAAAGCTAATATTATTGTTTGAAATTTTATTTATCTTTATACAAATACTCATCATATTTTTAAAGTGACTGATAAAAATGGATTTAATTAAAATCACTTCATTTGTATTAAAAAATTAATATTAAAGCCTTAATCATACATTATACAATAGTATTTTGTAATACAATCTAAATAGTTGTTGCGATATGTAATTTTTTTATCCGAAATTTAGCTTCTGTAAGCTTTAGAAATTTTTGAAAAAAATTATTGATTAATTTGGAGCTACGGGTACTAATGTTTTTATAATGTTGTAATGTTTGTATTCATTCCCTGTTAGTTTCTGTAAGTCAAAATTCTAAGGTGTTTCCATAATAAATTCTGTTATATCTGAAATTAGTGTTAGTCTGAATAAGTTAAATTCTAAAAGCTGTTTTGCATTGCCTGTCTTATAACATCTTTACTTGGAACAAAAACCATGTGGTTTAAAAGTGAGCTAGAAGCTTTCAACAATGAAGAAAATATTGCATTCGCTAATCCTAAAAATATATTAAACCTGTCAGCAAAATCAGCTGTCAATAATCCAAGTATTAGCATCATTAAAAATTCATCTTTGCTGCATTACATTTATTTTGGTCCGAGTAGTTAAGGATTTTTTTAAATTTCAAAAAACAGAAGTAAATGTTTTTTTAATATCACTTTATCTTTTTTGATTAATGGTGATACTGCACTAACTGATGAAACACATTGACAGATGTAAGGCCAGTATAAAAGTCGCAAGATCTATTATTTTTAAAATAAATGCTTGTATACAAGTAAATTGCAATAACACGATTTGTTTGGATTATGTTTATATACAAGTTTGTCTGTTTTCATAGTAATAACTGATGTGGTTGAAGTTAATTTTTCAAATAAATCTTTATTTTTTTATTTCGTGCTGAAGTTCTTTTTTAAAGTTATCAATTTCCTTTTTTAATTCTTGATGCTCTATTAAAAAACAACGCTTAGCATTAAATTCAACATAATTTAATGGATCATTTTTTGAAAAAGATAATGTTCTTTCAGGAAAATCGTCTGAACATGTTTTCTATATTATAAATTCTATATTATATAAGTTCAGTATTTACATTTTTTTTCCATTATAAATCTCTATAACTTTAATCGTTGAAATAATGTTTACGATTTTACTTCCATTTCTGCGCGCGCATAAATTTTATTTCGTTCTTTTTGTCGACAATGATTAAAATAATGACGTTGAAATAACGTTAAATAATCAACGTTTAAACGGTAACGTTGATTTAACGTTGTGACATAGTTGAACAACGTTGAAACAACGCTTCAACCGAATTTTAACTTTGAAACAACGTAATAATGCCGGCTGGGGAAGTTTATTATATAAGTATAATATCAAAATGAAATCACGTATTGATATTATTCTGAACTCAAAACATGATATATATATATATATATATATATATATATATATATATATATATATATATATATATATATATATATATATATATATATATATATATATATATATATATATATATATATATAATATATATATATATATATATATATATATATATATATATATATATATATATATATATATATGATAATATGAGAAGTTTACGCAAAATTTGTTATCATTATAATTCCGCTATAATTAATTTATTTAATTATATTTTAATAAAAAAAGCATTTTATTATTATTTTAATTAATTATGTTTTTATAAATAATATTTTATAATTATTTGAAAAAATTTTCTATTTTATTTAGTAAAGTTAAAATATATCGTATAAATAAACATTTTTGGTGAAATTGATAGACTTCATATTATATATATTTAAATATAAATTCAATATTATATTACATAACGCTTCGAAAAAAAGTCAATATAAATAATAAAAGTTTTATTTGAAAAAAAAAAACAGGTAGCAAATATTCAGATAAAGCCTTAAAGGGATCCCAAACTCCCAACACATGTTGTGTATTCATATTAAAGATAATGTTAAAAAAAAGGTTTGAACCAAATTTTTTTGATTAAAAATAAATAATGAATGCATACCGTGAAAAACAAATGTTGTTGTTTTTGCCGAAGCTAGTCTTCTCCATTTTTTTCAACTACTCGGTGTCTTCAAATTATGCGTCGCAATCTACAGACTTTGGAAGCGCGTTTAACTCATAAAAGTTTTAGTATTATATTTGACGTCACGGTAGACTTTTAACTGGAAATATTTTTATTCATTTTTAGTCGAAGTTTTTTTGGTTATTTGTTTAGCTTTTTTTTTTCCTACTTTTAATATTTAAAAAGATATTAAAAACCTTAAATATTTTATGCTGGTTTGTTGCTATAATTGTTATTGCGACATATATTTAATGTTTATAAATTGTGAATATTTATCTCAAAATTTTTATCTCAAAAATTGTTTTACATTAATTACTCGTATAAAATTAGTAACAGCTTTTTTATTTGGTTAGACGATATTTCGTTTCAATTTGCTTTGCAAGAAGTTCGGAAAGTCAAACGAAGAAAATAAGTTTGAATAATCACGTCGAAATATATTTAAAACAAATTATTTTAATGGCAGGGGTTCTAAAGTTTTTTATAACAAATGTAGGTAAAAAAATAAATAACTAAATTAAAAGTTCAGTATTAAACACCATTTCTTTATTATATTGCAACTGTAAATATTGAATTATTAACTTGAACTAAATTTACGTATTATTTAGAACGACTAAGCAATAAAAGTAAAATGCCCCTAAAGTGATGCGAGATTGTGTTGTTTATTTGATAACTGTTGTTGGTAATGTTGTTTATGTTGATTATTTTCATAAATATCAAAATAGTTTCAGATTAATCTGTTCGTTGCTTTGCTCATAGTTGATTTATTTCTAATTTAATTTTATCTCAAACTGTAATTATATGTTAAAAAAGAAAAGTTTTTATTTCATCGGGCGCTCTTTTTATAAAAGAGTAGTACAAAAGAGAAAGCAAAGTTTCGCGTAATTAAACTTTGAATGAATAAGAGTTGTATAGAATATATATATTTTTTGCGTCACTCGTTCTTTTTTTAGATGAGAGAAATAAAAGTTTAATAGTAGATTTTCTTCGAATAAATGAGAATTGGTAGAGAAAATTGCTTGAAAATTTGTATTTGTTAATTGTGTTTTTAAAGTTTTTTAATTTTTCATGTTAAGAGACAAATGCCAATTACGATACAAATTTGGAAATACCAAATATAATATGTTTTTTAATGCGCGTTATGACATTTTAACAATTTAAATTACCATCTATCTTGAATTATTGCCTTAAATCAATGTGTTAATTATTGCGTTATTTAATAATAATTTGTCCGTATTTTTGTTAAATATTAGTTGTATAAAACGGGCGAAAATATACAAACTTCATGTTTTTTATTTGATGGTTATAAAATATTGAACAGTAAACTTATAATAAAAATTTATAATGCCGACTTGTGTTGCAATTAATTGTACTTTTAATGCAAAGTCAGGATCTCACATATCTTTTCACAAATTTTCATATCTGATACTACTGTCAACTGTATTGTTTAGTGTATTCTTGTACTTTTTTTTCATAATCTTAACAGGTTCTAATTGGTATGGAGTTGCTGACATTTTAAAAATTTCATTATCAAAAATCAAATGTAAAATAAAATGGTATTTCCTTTTTATCCGTATCCAATTCAGCAAATTTAACAATTTAAATTAAATCAGCGTGATCAAAAAAATTTTATAATAAAAAAAGTTAACAATTCATTAATTATCTCTAATTAATACTGTCAGTTTATGAAAGTAATTGTTAATAAATACTTTTTTTCAACGGGAAAACAAAAAATTGTCATAGCGTAAAAATAACCAGAGAAGTTAGAAAATAGTTCCCATTGTTTAAATAAAAATATTATTTTAATCAGAATATATAATACTGCGTTCTCTTGCGCAAAAACAAGAGACCGTCCTATAAAATGTAAAATACTCATATGAAAATCATGAGATTGATAAGTAAAGCTTTAATATTTGTTTTAATTTAAATAATTAAAGAAATATAAGTAAGATATATAAATCTAAAAATTATTAAGATATCTGTAAAAAATAAGTTGCTCCTATAAAATAAAAATAATTTATTGTTTTTACTTTTTACAAATTTTTTTTTGCGATGTTTCGAAAAATAATACAAATAAAATTGTTTTGCTGAATGTTAAAAAAATACTACAGTAGAAAAACGCAGCTTAGTTTAATTACACTTTTCTTTTGTTAAAAGTCTACCGTGACGTCAAATACTAAAACCTTTATAAATTAAACGCGCTTCAAAGGAATTGCCAAAGTCTGTAGATTGCAACGCATAATTTGAAGACTCCGAGTAGTTGAAAAAAATGGAGAAGACGAGCTTCGGCAAAAACAACAACATTTGTTTTTCACGGTATGCATTCATTATTTATTTTTATTCAAAAAAATTTGGTTCAAACCTTTTTTTTTAACATTATCTTTAATATGAACACAACATGTGTTGGGAGTTTGGGATCCCTCTAACAAAAAGAAATACAGAAAATGTCAGAACAATCTTTGACAGATATATATTCAGAGAAATTGAGATATGGACTCGGTTATTGCATCGCTTTAACTTAACACTTGGATTTTAGACAGATATACAGACTTGATCTAAAAGTCACTTTTTGAATGTTGCATTCTACTTCTTTTCCAAATAAAATTTTGATTTATTTATCGTCTGAAAACAATGTTGTGTGCTGAAAATGATAAACAAAAATATTAACAATATAAAAATGATTTTTTCCTTATCAACAAATTTGTCTTATATTAAGTTTGGTAATTTTTTTTCTGATAAGAGTTGAATGTTGCCATTACACAAGCTTAATTGCTTTGCAATTCAAATAGCAATTATAAACCTAGAGAACCTAGAAAATTAATAATAAAATAGACATTATATCTCAGTCTTATACAAAAGCATTCAAGGATGTTGCAAAATTAGTTCAGTTTGCATAAGTTTACAGGAAAAAACTCTGGAAAAAAAAGCAGACTTAAAATAGAAAATGTCATCGTAGCACAATATAAATAAATAATAACACATTTGCCTATGTATATATTTATTTAACTTACTTGATTGAAAATAATTTTAAATTTATTATTTTGGTATTGTATATCACTATTTTAACTAAGATGAGCCATTGACATCATTTCATTGAACTTGCTAAAGATTTTATAAAGCATTGTATTTTGAAAAACATTGCATTAAGAATCAAAAAAAATTTTGACATATGAATTAATATTATATATATATATATATATATATATATATATATATATATATATATATATATATATATATATATATATATATATATATATATATATATATATATATATACATATATATATATATATATATATATATATATATATATATATATATATATATATATATATATATATATATATATATATATACATATATATATATACATATATATATACATACATATATATATATATATATATATATATATATATATATATATATATATATATATATATTTATTATATATATATATATATATATATATATATATATATATATATATATATATATATATATATATATATATATATATATATATATATATATATTCTAATGACATTAGATACTATTTCATCAGAAGTTGTATTTAATATTTAACTAAAAAAATTGAACAAAATCAACACGTAAACAACACTTAAACACAAAAAAAATATTTCATAAAAATTAAATAAAATAATCCAGTCTTGAGGTAACAGCTTTCATCATTCTTTGCATTAAATTTTTTTTACAAAATGCTGCTCTTGATAATTTCATTCTTGATAAAGTCACCGAGTATTCTAAGCTACTACTTGAGAAGGATAATGTATTATTTTATTTATAGCTGATATCATAAGCTAAATGATTTAAATAATGAAAGTTATAAATTGATTAATAGTTGATCAGAAAAGAACACTCTGGCATTGCTCTCAAAGCAACGTTTTCAAAGAAAAGCAACGTTCTCAAAGCATTGTTCTCAAAGAAGTTCATGAACATAAACTTATTGAGTCAATTAGTCTTTTCCGTATAGCTTATGTTCAGTATAAGCTACACTTAAACTAACAATTAAAATGGATGTATTTTTCTTTACTGAGTTTATGATTTAAGATCACTTGCCAACAATATAAAAGAAAAGTTTTGGCTTAGAGGCTTTTCTCAACTTAATATATTTTAGATTGGTTTTACAACATGATTTACAATTAAATTCCATATAAATGTATTGTTTCAAGAGAGGGGTTAAAGACAACAAGTATGCACGTGGCTAATTCTCATTCTCTATCTATTTGAAAACTTGCTTTCTTTTTTTTTATTAACAAAAGCATAGAGTTTCTTGAATTTAAATGATTATTATTCTGTTAAGTAACAAAATTAATAATTCTGTTATGAATGATGTTAAAATGACTAAATAATTTTGTTTCTAAAGCTTTGAAAAAATTATGCCTTGGAAAAAGGTTTGGCGAAATGGGTTGATTTTGTTAAAATAGAAATGCATGCAGTGGGAGTAGAAGGGAAGCGTAAAAAGCATACAGGGGCGTACAATGGGAAGGGGTTCCTTATTTACTGTTTTTTCTGCATACATACTTTATGTATGTCCACCTAAGATTTCCTCATGAAGTCTTTTAAGTTTTCTCAACTAGCTAACTCACAAAAGAACGTCACAACAAATGGAATTTTAACAAATATTGTCAATATGACACTAGATTGACCAGAGAAACATATTTGCACTTTTATGGATTGGCAGTCTCTCAATGGTTAAAGGCTAACTTCACAAAGTCTATAGTATTGCATAGATCTAAAATACCATCTTTAATTTTTTTTATTACTATCTTTTATCAAAATACCATCTTTTATCCTAAAATATGTATACTCACTAACTAAACCAATAAAGAAGTAATATGATTTAACTAAATGCAATTAAATAAAAATAAAAATAACATTTAAGTAAAAATAAAATGAATGCAAAACAATATTAAAAGTAAAGTATTCAATACAAATTAAATATTTTAGAAGATTTATTAACCTAACTTTATTGTAATATCTGAGTTTTAAGGCATTTTCAATAGCGTCATAATTTTTGCTAGAAGATCTACACAAAAGTGATTAAAATGTAGTTATTCTTGTTAGAATAATGAACATTTAACATTCCATCGACTAGGTCTTTTCTAAATGACAGCATAATATTTTTATTACTTTCATAACTACTGCTGTTACTATCAGTGGGAAGTTCTCAAATTCTTTCTGCTGGATTTATAGATTTCAGTCCTAATAACTCCTATTTATAGAATTTAAGTCCTATTATTATGGATTTTTGTCCTATTAAGTTCTATTGAGCTTAATTAACTGTTATTTAAGCAACCAGAATTTTTAACTTTTACATTTACAAAGGGTATTTATTAACTATGCTAATTTAAAATTCTTTCTAGAAGCATAGCTAATTTAATTGTGGCTTCCTTCTACTATTGGAACTTTTTAAATGATTTATGTTAAAAAATTCAACTGATTTAATTTTTGTTATATATGCGTTCTAAAATATTTGTTCAAATAAACATTCAAATAAACTGATTGCCTTAGGCTTGTTAACTCTGTGAATATAAAAAAAGAGAGATTTGTTCCAATTATACAAACTTATACATGACATTGACAAAATAGATATTGGAAAACGTTTTCCATTTATTAATACTATTTAAGATGGAACTTCTTTAGGACTCTTAGAGTTTAAAGCTGCAATTATGTTAAAAAAGAAATCCTTTTTTATAATAAAAGGGAGCATTTCCTTTTTAAACAGAATTTTAGATGCATGGAACTCAGTTTGAATTGAATGTGTAACAGCAAAAACAGCTTTTAATGAATAGTTGAGTTGCAATCAAACATAACTGCTGTAATACTATAACAAAAAGAGTGCAAAACAACGCATTCACTGGGTGTTTAACACAACGTAAACTACTACTACTACTATTACTACTAATATGTACTTAATCAACATGTTTATATTAGTTATTTAAATGTTTTATGTTGTAATAAATTGTAAATATAGGTCAATGAAAGCAGGTGATGCTGTTTGATTTTTTTGCAATTACTAAAAATAATGTAATTTATAATTGTTATTTTAAATACATATAACCTTTTTTAATTAAGTACTAAAATCTAAGCCGTATAAAAACTAAAAAATCTCTAAAACAGTTAGAATGTTTTTAAATAAAAATAAGTGATGTAGCATATTGTCAATATATTCAGCAACATATTCTTATTAAAAATAAAGTACCAAAAACAAATATTTTGCTCGTTAATTTCATTACTTTGCAATTAAGTTTGTTTTTTTTATTCGCAGCTAATAAGAAAACAAGTTTAAAGTTTTATTTACTTTGTCTTACCATTTTTTTTAATACTAATTCGCATATCTTTCAGCCATCTTGAAAGTAATAATCAATTCTTGGAAGACGTTTTCCGGTGTTGCGTTAAAAAAGTTAGCTGTTAAAAAAGTTTACAAAATGTGAATTCTGCGCGTGCGCAACATAATTAAAACTTTTTTAACGCATGTTGGCCTTAAAAAAGTTTACCCGTTAAAAAAGTTTTAAAAATGGCAGCGCAAACCTTGCAAACATGCAAAATATTTTAGCGATAAGTAAGATGTACAAAACATGAACAAATATTTATGATTTAATTTTTATATTTTTATTGTTTTTCTATATTACTTAAATTTTTATTGTGTTTCTAATTATTAAAGCCGATCGCTATAGCCACTTTGCTAAAACTGCTAGCTACTCCTAAAAACGATTAAATAAACTCCTGCTAAACTGATTACTACAACTAGCTAACTACCTAGCTTATACCAGCTGGTATTGCTAGAAGTGCTAAATGTGGAGGAATGTGATATTTCTAAATTAAAGGCGGAAATTTTTTATTAGAAGTCTGACTGATACGAGATATATCAGCTCATATATCAAGTCAATTTAAAAATCAAAACTATTGATTTATTCATCCAATTCCACTGTTATTTGTGTGTGTGTGTGTGTGTGTGTGTGTGTGTGTGTGTGTGTGTGTGTGTGTGTGTAGAAAGTGAAGTGGAGATAAGGATTTCATAACTTCTTTTATAGAGTTACTTTTCAAACATTTATTACCGCAATCAAAATGGGGATGAAAGCCAACTTCGACAAGAAGCCATGAAAACCAAATACATAGAAAAAAACTAAATAAAGACTATTCAAAGTATTTTTTAACAATACAACTTTGATTAAAATTATTTTTTTCAATTATAAAAAGCATAATTTGAAAAAAAATTAACTTTGCATAATCTTTAAACTTTAAAAACATTAAACTTAAATAATCTTTTGAGTTTTAATTTCTTAAAAAACAAGAAATATAAGACGTCTAGAGATAAACGTATTTAACAAACAGTTAAATTTAAAATAATTTTAAAAACTTATTAAATTAGAGTTACTTCCGAGACACTCTGTTAAAAATAATTAAAAGACATAAAGTAAATTATTATAAATAAATATCATTATTAGCACAACAATGGCTAAAATATTGAACAAAGCATAATACAGAAGCACAAAGTTGCTTATCTGGACATAAAAAAAAGTTTTGTTACCATTAAACCAAATTATTCTTACCTTGTATTTTGTAGAGTTCTAGATTTTCCCTGTTGGCTTATGATTAATATAGCAAATTTCAAATCATAAAAATTTACTAAATTAAAACCATGTTTCAACAGTACACCAGCTGAAATAAAAAAATGGTAGGTAAAAATAAGAATATTTCTTTCAATACAAAAGAAATATAATATCCTTTAAACTTATAAAATTATACTATTATAAAAATAATTATAAAAAAACTTTATGTTCAAGATGTGAGAAATTGAGCAAAAATATTTTTTTTATTGTTGCAAGATATAAATCAAAAAACCTTTTTTTTTTATAAACTTGTAAAATAATTAAACAAGATTAACTAATTTCAGAAATAAATATATTATCAACAAAAATCAGTTTCCTTCTTTCATTTGAATGCATCAAAAAGAAAATAGATCTTCTTTCTATCACAAAAGCATCTATAAATAAATTTGTTTTTTTTTTTAATTTTTTGACAGTATCATACATATGCAAATAGTCATTTAAAAAATCATAAATATAATAATATATCTTACCTTAAAATTATCCCAAAGCACAATGACAAGTATCATCACAAAGAAAGGATAAAGCGCATCTTTTAACCCCATTTAATATGGTTATATAAGAAAACAATTCAAGTTTACCTTTTTCAATACACTTTAGAAAATGTTTTCTCATACTTTTTTTTTTCCCAGACAATTAAACTTGCATCAATTCCATTACATAGAGCTGTAGCATTTGCAACAGCATAAAGACCACAGTCATTCCCATTATCTTGGGTCTGGCAGTTCATAACATCAAAACTTATAGAGTTAACATCTTCACAAATCAATAATGATTGAGCAACACGATGCACAAGTAATAGAACATCTTCTTTTGAACTGGCAAAAAGAGAATCATAATATTGAACTGATGATTTTAAACATGTATCAGATGACACATTACTTATCAGTATCCAATGTGAATTTCTGACATTGAGTATTTGAATAAATTTTACTGAAGGGATGTAACCCCCTGAATTGTTTTTATTAAAAATACACAAACTTTGTTAAGCCAGACAAATAAATTAAAAAAAACATACATTAACCGAACTAAAAGCATTTACTTTGTCGTGCGAATTGTTACTATTTTATGGCACTTTTAGAGTGATAATTTACCACTTTTAAAAATATTTAACTCACGACATATATTCTAATCGTATTTTATACCTTAATAATATAGTATGACAAGTAACATATTTTTAAGAAAGAGGTTTTTTTAAGGTCATTAGTGATATCAAATAAAATAGTCATTTCACAAGGAAGTTTATTATAATCCTAAATAATTTAACTGTGCATTTTAGAAAAATGTTTCACGTTAAATTATTTATCTTTACCCCTTAAGCTTATCAATTGTAAAATTTGTAATTGTTACCTGATTCTACGCAGATTAATAGTAACAAAAGTATTCTGATGTTACCACAGAAAAAAGAAAAGAGTTTATTAATTCGTGTCAAGACTTTTTTTGTGTGTTAATTTACCTTCTCAAGGACGAAAAAGTTACTCCATTCGTAGAGGCTGCTTTAGTTCTGGTTACAACCCTCTCACAACTCTTTAACTCAGAAACACAAACCATGGTGAACAAGACCGCTACGCGGAGAAACAAATTGAACGCGGTAGTACCAGAGACGTGGTGGTGATCGAACTCAGAACTTCTCGATTATGAGGCGAGCGCTCTACCGCTACACCACTACTGTACTACTGTTGAATAAAAACCTAGACAGGTATTATTAGACAATTTTAGCGGTGTATGTATAGCACAATAATAATAAAATGTGACCTAAACTTAGTTTACTATTTCTTACTATGTGAATGTTTTAAATAAAAACGACATTAAAGAAACGACACACTTCATGCTACACTAAAACTTTATTTTGAAAATAAGATCAAAATATCCTTACACAATATAAATAGCAAAATAAAGTAACATGGTTTTTAAGTTCTTTTAAAAAATATCAACTTGATTAAAACTTAGGCATTTTTGGAAGAAATTCCATTTTTCCACATGGAATTACAAGCCTATATAGTATAGAAATATATTAAAATATAAATAGTATCATTAAATCGTAACGAATAAAAAAAAATAATAATAAAAGTACCTGCTTTTGTACCAGAAGAGTACTTAATAAATGCATTTATCAATATATGTCATTAAATTGATTTATAAAATGAACTCTAAATGTGTGCCAGAAGGATTTGATTTTATAAATCATATAAATGTTAAAAATGTTAAAACAGCCATGGTATCAACATGCCAGAATAGTCTATACTTTTACAATATTCTACAAAAAAAAGAACAAGCACTAGTTGACCTAAATTAGCCAATTGTATAACTTAACACATCTATAAGACATTTACAATAATAAAATAAGTAATGAACTTTTTAAATTTTAACTAAAACATGCATAAACAATACCAACAATAGAAAAAAACAATATGAACAATAGCAAACATAAACAAACCAACAATAAAATAAAAAAAATGTATTTACATATATTGATTGAATTTAAATATTCAATTAAGTCACAAAAACAAAAAGAAAAACAGCAGTAACAATAAGATACATTCACAACAATGATAGTACTAAAGACACACCTTTTATGAAAGTATAACATAGTAACAAAAGTGGACATCTCTAATGTTCCATTCTCAATATATTTAAGGTTATGTTAGCTCATTTCATTACCTTTTTATATAATCAAACTTAAGTTGACACTGCTACACAAATATACTGTCACACCATCATACCGTCGCATTTCCTTTTAAGAAAAGATCACAATCATTTTTATGTACAACTTTATGCACTAACAATGGCGCATCATCTTTACTTGAACTATTAAAGAGTGAATGATAAAACTGAACACACTTTCAATGTGAAACAACATCAGGAGACATTACTTATAAACCCCCAATATAACTTTCTGAAAAGCCACTTGAATTAAAACAAGTAAAAATGCAAAAAAACTCAAATATTTTAAACTTGGAAATCTAAATATTTTGAAAAACTAATATAAAAACAAACTTTGTGCTATATCAATCAAGGTGTCATCTGGCCAGCCAGATGAGTCTCTTAAAATCTCTAAGGCCTTGTCTATAGACTGTATTGAAAAACTTTAAAGAAAACTTTAGAAAAATTTGAACTTCGACAGTCCATTTTACAATGATACTATCATTAACAAATAGCTTTTTTCAAAGCACTTTGTTAATTTAACTGTTAATACTATTACCAGTTTAAACTCTTAACCTTTTTCTCATTGATTGGATTAATTAAAATAAGCAGGCTATATCAAATTATCTAAAATTTTATAATCTTTTGAAGAGTATCAAAAAGCTATAAAATAAAGTAGTTACATAAATTGTTATTTTTTCAGTATATTTACTTTAACAATCAGTACTTTTAATAATACATTTTTTTCCAAGTTTTGTTAAAGCAAAAGGTCCAAAAAAGTCTAGGGGAAGTTTGTGTAAAAATTGCGAAACTGATACAATCATATCTCTATACTACTTACTTCGTATAAGTATATTGACTTATACTGATAAAATTCTATCAAGTAGAAGGGTTTAAAAAGTAGAGGCCCTAGAACAATAAACTTTTTTTGGACTGTACCAAGGGTCACTTTATGAAAATTAGGTTCAAATCCATAATAAATTTACAGTTAATTTAATCTTAGACTGTTTTTAATAAATATTTTTAGTAATACTTAATTGCAACACTTAAATATACAACAAAATTAACTAATAGTTTTAGGCAAAACTGACAAATAAGTCAATGCATAAAATGGAAGTCCCAAAGCAACTGTAGGTTTTGAGATGCTGAGACATAATACAAAATTAACTTCAAAAACATACAATAATATAAAATACGTATTTTATAATATTGTATGTTTCTGAAGTTAATTTTGTACTATGTCTCAGCATCTCAAAACCTACAGTTGTTTTAGGATTTTTATTGTGTATATACACAATAATAATAAACTCTTAAACAGTGTTTAAGAGTTTATTATTATTTTATATAATTTGTGTTTAAAACACAAATTATATAAAAGTTTAACTTTTATATAAACATACCACAAAGTTGACATTTTTTATTATAATAATTTATTATTCCACCAGCGACATACTGCTAATTATCTTAAACTGAGTAATTATAGACTGGCAATTTAATTATATAGTTTAAAAAAATTCAAAAATATTATCATTTTTGTTTATATCTAGCGTAAACAAGGCTACTTATTTATATATAATTTATACCTAGCGTAAACAAGGCTGTTCCTAGCTCGACGTCACGAAATAATGGATCGGTGTCTTTAAAGCGAAACTTTTAAGAGCGAAAGTTTTGAAAGCGAAAGGTCGGGAAAGCGAAAAAGTTAAAAGCGAATGCGATTGGTTAAGCGAAAAAATTTTTTTAACAACATTAGTAACATCTTAAATTAAGATGTTATTAAGATTTAATAACATCTTAATAACATTGGTAACATCTTAATAACATTTTAATAACATTGGTAACATTATTATTTTTATATAAATACATATGAGTTAACCTATTATTCTTTTTCATTGAATTGTGTCATCTTAAAGTTGTTACAATTGAAGTGAGATAATTTCAGAAATAAGTTCATGAAGTTTATTATAAACTTTAAAAGTTTATACTTTATAGAAAATTGAGTAGGGCACAATTTAATTGTTTAAAATTTTGCTCCAAAACAAAGCGTAAAAGTTAAGTGTGTATACCAATTATAATAGGGAAAATTAGTTGTTTTCGCATAAAAAATTTAGTTAGTTAGAAGTAATTCTCTTTTATGTGCCAACATATCGGCCAGTTATATTTACTGTTTAATTATCTGCAAGGCAAAGTGAGTATTTTAATATTTTTGTTTAAAATAATTTTAATAATTGTTATCAGACATTCACTTTAGAAATATGAATTATAGCTTAAACTTTAGGCTTTTAAGTTAAAGCCTGTGTCAAAAATGACTTTTATATGTTGTATTTAAATATGACTTAATGACATTATTTATATGACAAAAATGGCTTTTATATGGTGCATTTGTCTGAAATTTGACTTATAGTCTATTAGTCAAAAATCACAATATAAGTCTCTATAATAAAGATACTTATATTGTGACCATTATGTATGGCATTATCTTGATCGATGTTGTTACACTTGGAATATGTTGTTTCAACTTTTAGGTATTTTATTTTGCTACAATTTTTTAATGATGTTGTTTTGATTTGATTTGTTCTGTAAACAGAAAGCTGTACAGTGTCCTTTTTTTTCCCACCTGTTGAATTTCAGCAACATTTTTGTCAAAATTATTTATAGTTCATTTTACAAGAGGTAGTAGAAGATTATTTTATTTTTAACTACTTTCTTATTTTGTAATGTGGTTTTTTTTTTAGAACAACTTAAGAGTATGATTTAATAACTGTGTGAATCTTCTTGGTTGATGCCTAAAAGATTTTTTGAAGGCAGTTCTACATTTTATTGAAATATAAAAACATGCCAATATCCCAAAAATTATTCTGCGTAATGTTTTTTGGATTGTTTGCATGTAAAATTAAAAATTCAGTCATTAATTGTGAAAAAGACTAATTGGCTAATTAGTTTAAAAAGTTTCATTGGTGATGATTGATTGGTGAGAAATTTATTTACTTTTTATGTTTTAATTACATGATTTGTAAATATTTATGATATGAATTGTTTGTGATCTCAGTATAGTAAAGTTTTTATTTTTACATTTGTATTACTTAGCACAAATGTTTTATAATTTTGTCTACAGATTGGTTTGTAATAGCCTTAATTATCTTATTTACTTAATGTTCAGTATACTGTTATGTTGTTTTTAAACTAGATAAAATAGTTTTTAAAACGAAAATGACTGCTGGCTCTATATGAATCTAATTTAAGTTTACTTCTTTGGGAATTTTATATCATGTATTAAGTTTATTGTATTGGTAACTTTTTTATTACTAAAAAAAGAATTTAGTTACACAAAAAAAAGTGTAAAATGCATAACATCCCAGCTATTACAATATATTGGAGGGCTTTTATTGGAAATGTTTTTTTTTAACATTTTCATTTCCAACAAGACTGCAAGCACCTACTATTAGAGAAAAGATGAAATTTATAGAGTAAAATAACAACTAACAGAAAAAATTAATAGATTGCGAATTATATGAAAAAAAAACAAACAAGCTGAAGCAAGTGAAAAAAAAGTTTCACGAAAAAACAGATTAGAACTTTTTAGGCACTTAGGAACAGTCATATTAAAGGATTAGCCTTTATTGAATGATGAGTAACACAATAGTGAGTTTTAGTAGATGATACAAGAGACGCTAGCTCTTTAGAGCAGTGTCCATAATTGTATTTATAAAAAATAAAATGAGAAGCAACATTATGATAATATTCTAATGGTTGGAGGTTGGCTGCAAAGGTCAAGGTGCAAAAACAATTCCTTTTTGTACTTTGTCTAAAAGAGAAAGGCCATTACTGGAAGATCTGATTAAGATATGGCAAAAGTGTTCCATGCAGGGATGGATGTAAGATTTATAGAGATAAGACAAATATTTATAGAGATGTTTGAATTGATGAATACTTTTAAATTTAATATTGTATCATAAGTTGACAATATATTCAAAGACTGAAATTTAGCACAATTGTATTAAGCAAAGGTCTTTGCACACCACCAATTAAGCATTTATATTTCAAGAGTTGTTTATTGATAAAAGCTTGCCTTAATTTACATAAATAGTAATATTTGTAGATATTATTATCTACTAGATAATAATTTATATTAAAAACTAACCTTTATATGTCTCGTTTTCAAATATGTTGTGTTGATGTATTTGCCCTGGCTTTTAGTTTATGACTCAAAATTTAAACATCAATTCTTGAGGTTTAACTATCTCATCATTTCTAAAAGTTCTAAGGGTAGACAGCCTAACTCACCATACCTAATCAAAACAAAAGAACATTATAAATTCGTATCTTTCTAATTTTATGATAATTTTTATTTAAACATTAAAACAATTTTTTGGTTGAAATCTAATACATAAATTTCAAAAAACAATTTAAAATTAAATAATATCAATAAGAAATTATGCAAATCTTTTTTTTTTATCTATAACTTATTAACTTGTAATTATAATTTTTATGCAAGATTTTATACCTTTTTGTCGCAATGTAACTCAAGTCTCAGCTAGAATACCAAATGAATAAATAATTCTAAACTATATGCATTTAATTCTATACTAAAACTATATACATAAACTCTAAACTATATACAATAAGTTTTTTTTATTTATTTAATCTAATAAACTCTAACTGTAACTATAACTCTCAGCTAGAATATCAAATAAATAATTCTAAACTATAACTAACTTATAATTATAAAAATATTACCAGTTTAAAAAAAATAAAATCCAAACGCTAAATAATCTATAATATAATATTGAGGTAATAACAAAATCAGAAAAAATTTCAATAAATTTCAGCTGTTGTTGCTGTTGAACTTATCGCGATACTCGATTTCCCGGTTTTCGCTTTCAAACTTTTCGCTTTAACGATCTTTGGCTTTAAAACTTTTCGCTCTTACGTTCTTTCGCTTTTAAACTTTTCGCTCTTACCTCCCATTACCGAAATAATTAAGAGTTGTTTTGATTTCAAATCTGCCATTATGGAGGACAACTAAGTTAGCGGAACTAATATATTAATTATAATATTCATAGTTTTTTCAAAAAATATAATATTTTATAAAATTTAATGTATAACCAGAATAAGAAAATATAAATCCTGATCTGATTTATTTAGTTATTATCCTTTTTTTATTTTAAATTAAAGTTTAATATATAAATATGCAAATATTGTAATAATAAAATTATAATATGGTCAACTTTTGTGCTGTATTTGGATGTTCAAATCGTGAAAAGGGAAAATCTTTTTTTCGTTTACCAAAAGTAGCTTGCAATCAAGGCGATGATGGTAAGATTTTATCAAAAGAACGTAGACAAAAATGAATAAATGCCATAAACAGAGTTGGTAACTATCCTGATATCCTCCACACTCGAATTTGCAGTGATCATTTTATTACAGGTAGAATAAGCCTTTTTACCTTTGAAATATTTTTATTACTTTGAAAGTTTAATATCATTAACTGTTTAACATTTTTATTTTTTTATTTAGGAAAACCTGCTTCTCTTTTCTCACAGAATGATCCTGATTGGGTTCCATCCTTAAATATGGGGCACAAAAAGTTTAAGTTTGAGAAACCTAGAGAAAGATACTTACGACACAAAAATCGTTCATTGTTAACAAGTCGAAATGATTCTATGTCTTGTAGAAACAGCATCACTAATTTAAACCCTTCTGAAAATTCAATCGTAGATTTTTAAATAGAGAATTTTGAAAGTAGTGATTCAATTGTTTCAGAAAGTGTTACAATAGATTGTAAAAACTTAGTAGATGCGAGTGTTCAAACTGATATGACTGTCAAAAATATCAATCAAATAGAAACTGAGTTTATATATAAAAACAAACTTAATCATGATTTGCGTGCAAATTTAGTCAAACTCCATGTGGGAACTATTGAATGGCTTGATACCGATTCAAAAGTAACATTTTACACTGGATTGCCAAATTTGAAAACTTTATGTTGTTTATTTAACTTCTTAAAGCCTCTTATAACTGAAAATGAGAACTCAGTTTTATTGTACTTTGAAGAATTTTCTTTGACGCTTATGAAATTGCGTTTAAATCTATCTATTAGAGACCTTGCTTATAGATTTGAAACTTCAAAATCGACCTCATCAAAAGTATTTTTAAGATGGATTGACATTATGTATTTCAGAATGAAACATTTAATTAAATGGCCTGCTCGCAATGAGCTTATAGAAACTATGCCTTTATGCTTTAGAAAATATTTTGAAACAAAAGTGGTTGGATTGTTACGTAACAAATATAAAGTTCTGCAAAGTATTATGCCATTAGATTACTTATATACTAAAGATTCTGGATTATGCACAATAGACAAAATTGTTATTGTTTGTTCTTCTTTGATAAATATATGTGATTCAATTATTCCTGTGGAATAATTTTTAAAAATTTAACAGGATTGAATAATTAATTGAAACTAGATCTTATAAACAAAAATAAATATTATCAAATTAAGTATAAAATATTTTTATTAAAAGTTTACATTTTTATTTCAATTTTATACAATAATTGTGATCATTAAAAACTTTGTTTTCTTTTTTAAAGTAGCTGTGTTCTATTAGTATAAATTTATTTTTATCTGATATTTCTTTCATTAATTGATTTTTTTGGCTGTAAAATTTGTTAATTAGTTCAGGTAAAATACATTCTTCAAAAAATTGTTTAGATTTTATTATATTCCTGCCCATAAATTCCAAATCCGGCAATATTCTTTCGCAATACGAATCTTTTGATGTCCAAATAAAAAAATCACAGTAGTTACTTGATGAAGCATATAACTGACATTGAACTTGATAGTAATATTTATGTGATTTTTTTAAAGATATATAACCAGCTTTATTTTCCAGACAACAATTTCTAAAATCTAATAATTCGCTAATGTATTTATCTCTCATACTATATGGACATTTTATTTCCAGACAACCATTTCCACAACAATCACAATTAATAACTGCATCTGGTGATGCACCAAGGAAGGGTTTTTGAACTGAAATAAAAAACCCACAATTTTTTATTGAAAATTTAGAGTGTTTCTTTTCCATGGTTGTGGAATACAAAGTCAATGCTTTTTTTTCATGGTCATTTCCCCATTTTGTTGCTGCTGTGCAAAAACGTGCTTGAATGGGGTAACATACTTGCATAATCAAACTGATTGGTGGTTGGGTGATGTTTGCGCAGCATACACTCCCGAATTTTGAAGCAGTTATACGACCTGCCCTAAAGTAAAACCAGTTTTTACTTTTTGCTTGAAGTCGCGTTGTACTCTCAACATTTTTACTTTGCTCAATCGTTATTGTAATTTTTTTTTTTTTTACAAGCAGCTAGGAGTTGTACAAAGTTTAAAAATATATTTTTCTGATAAAGATCTGACAATGATTCAGGATATTTTTCTGTTATTATTGATGGTTCATAAGGTTTGGTAAACCCAGGAATAATTAAAAGAAAAAAGAGCAGAGATTCATCAATCGAAATATCACGGCTAAGATTTAGGAGAAGCTTGAAGCGTTCAATTAGACTAACTAGTACTGGTTGAATTTTTGCAGAGCGATTACAATTCTCCTCTAACTCTTGATTGTCAAAAAAGTGGAGATACTTTTCAATTAGTAAAAGTTTATTTTGAGACATTAGGCGTCTAATTAGTAAGTTTTTAGAATAATACCAGTCATTTCTAGGTTTGTGTAACAAGCCACAGTATATTAGTACAGCTAAGTACATTCGAATGTCACTAGGTGTTGTGTCTACCCATTTGGAAAGACGTGATGCCTTAGAGTGAAGTTTACCTATATTACTTTGATCTGCATATTTGTTTGTCATTTTTACTATCATATCATTAGTGAATAAGAGTTAAAAAATCTCCAGTGGGTCATCTGATGTTACAGACTCGTGGACACCTAGCTCACTGTGAAATATTTGCCTACACATACCTGATACAGGTTCACATTTTGTCCAACATAAATTATCCATAACTTTTGTTTTTTTTGTAGTCATTCGCTGTCTTTTTTTAATTGGTACAACAAAAGAAACAGGCTGGGTAACAATACTTTGATTATTTTCAGCAATTGACTTTTCCATATCATCATCGCTGTCCTCTTTAGTGGAGATGTCTGTGCCATCTATAACATCATCAAAGTCACTACTACTACTACAGTCTGAAATTTCATTGTCACTTTCAAACATAAATCTAACAATATCTTCTGTTGAGTTCAATTTCACATCACTAGCTTTTTTTTTAAACTTGCCATTTTTTAACATTGTTTTTTTTAAACTTGCCATGTTTTAACATTGTTTACTAAAATTTAAATTAAATCAGTTATACTCAATGAAAAATATCCATTATGAGCTTAAAATTTCCGTAGAAGAATGTTCTAGAATATATGACTGGTCTGACGGCTTCTATTTTAGTATTGTAAGTGTCACACTGCTTCAAATAAATTTTGCGTATATATACTAGGGTTGTTAACCAGAGGATGTCGTGCAATTCCGGAAAAACAACATTCTTTCGTAAGGAGATTGAGAACGAGGAATTACATTTTTTCGTACCGAATGTTTCAAAACATTTAAAATCGCCGATGTTCATTTCGCAAAAGCCACTTCCGAAATTTAGCATTTCGCAATTTGACATACGAAACAAAACTATTTTGCAACATACGAAATTAGCGGTTTCGGAAGTGGCACTTGCGAAACAAACATTTTTGCCAAACGACGTTTTAAAGTCTATAAAGAAAATTTGTTTGCCAGACTGATTTTAATTGTAAAAATTAACATCTTTAAATCCCAAAATGTTTATAATGAATTTTTATTTTCAGTATAATAACATATTAAATTTTTATGGTTTTATTTTTAGAAATATTGATAAAAAATAAAATTTCTTTCGAAACGAAAGTATTTCGGATCACAACATACGAAAGAATTCTTACCGGAAATAAACTTACGAAACGTTTTTTTTTTTTAAAGCATATTAAATTTTTGAAACAGGTTCGAATATGCTTAAGCAAATAGTAAAAAGAGGCTCAAAAATATGCTTTAGCTTAAGCATATTTCTGATAAAATATACCTATTTCAATAATTTCTAAAAGTGTGCACGTTACTAAAGTTCTAGCAGATTTTAAAGGTATGTAGAGTCCTGTTTGAATACGCTTTTTGAAGTATAGATCTTAGAAAATATTGTTTTTTAATTTTAATAAGATATAAATTTTAGTATAAGATCGTATAGTTCAATCAGTTAGATATGTGATAATTCGCCGCAGAGATCCGGGTTCGCATCCCGCAGCCATTGTAACTTTTGTTCATCAAACTCTTTTTACTTAAGATAGCATTTTTTGACCTCCATGTTCTATATTACAGATCTTTCGTCACCTTCATAATAGTGACAACCTCTCTTCTGTTAGTTATTCTTTTAAGATTGAGTTCATTGTGCTTAATTCTACACGTTTCCCTTGCTTTACTAAGTTCTACTTAAATTATGATGAAATGTACGTAAAACAACTTTTTCAAATAATATAAATCATTTTGCTTTAAATTTTGTGCTTTTTGTACTAGACATCTGTTCTAAACACTTTGTAATAATTTCTAGCTAACTCTGAGTCTAATATAATCATTTCTGAATATAATTTCCCTGAGGCTCCTACAGCCTATTGTGTTCCATTAAAAGTAACTAGTTTTCGAGTCCAGATAATAATTATAAGCAACTAAAGGTTCACATTACTATTCATTTTCCTGATATATAGAATCCTATTTGCATACGTATCTCTTTCTGTAAATTCTGTTTTATATAGTTTCTTAATTATATAATAAATATTACTATTCAATTAGTTGAATGAACGTATAGCTCATTCAGTTGAGACATTTGGCCGCGGAGACCCAGGTTCACATCCCGCTGTTTCACATATATTTCTTCTCTTTTTACTCTTTCTGATATCATTTACCTTTAGAGATATCTCTCGTTCTTTATAATAAAGTATTTAATTGTTTATCGCACATCCTGTTTATACTTTTTAAAAAGAAAGGCATACTGTTTATCTGTTCATTGAGAGTCCAACTTAACGCGATTTTACTATATATATATATATATATATATGTGTATATATATATATATATATATATATATATATATATATATATATATATATATATATATATATATATATATATATATATATATATATATATATATATATATATATATATATATATATATATATATATATATGTATATATATATATATATATATATATATATATATATATATATATATATATATATATATATATATATATATATATATATATATATATATATATATATATATATATATATATATATATATATATATATATATATATATATATATATATATATATATATATATATATATATATATATATATATTAGGAATATTTGTATAAACATTTGAAGAATCATTTGACAACATTTTTTTATAATTTTATTATTTATTATTTAAACTGTTAACAGTTAATATCTTAAATATACCGTAACATAAAATCTTTTGCGTCTTTTTCGTAACTGCACATTCCGGAATGCTTTTTCCGTAAGGAACTATTTCGTAAGTATTCTTACGAAATGATTTGTTTCGCAAGCTTTCTTTCGCAATGCTTTATTACGGAATTTTATTTATTTATATTTTCGTATAGCGCGTTACGGAATGTGCATTTTCGCATGTGCAACTTCCGCAATAACAATTCTATTGCGGTAGATAAAGATGCGAAATTTTCGCAAGTTTTGTTTATCGGCGAACAACCCTAATATATACGTCAACGCCGTTTTTTGAAAGTTTTGTGATGACGTATATATTCGTCATTAACATTTAAAGGGTTAGCCAACGTTATTTATATTTTATCTTTTATCTATATTTTTTTAAATTTTTACTTTATCAGCTTATAATTCGTATTTTACTTTACTTTATATCGATTGAATACAAATATTTTAAAATAACGATGGGGTTGCCGTATAACTAGATTCAACTGGTATAAATATAATCTAATTAAATCGTCATTATATTTCCTTATAAATACATCAGTCATTGGTTCATTTACTCATACGGTCCAAAAACAATCCTATTTAGTTTCTGGAAATATTGTATTTATAAAATGATTTGGATAACATTTGTTTTTGCTTTTAACATTAGAAATTAAACAAAGTTCAACTCAGGGTTAGTCTTTTTATATTATTTATTTTTAATTTTCTAGTTAATATAAAAGTGGAACTAAATTAATACATTTTATTCATTATAATAACATTCTAAAACGATTTTAAGCATTTTTAAAAGTTTGTTGCTATCGTTTTGCAAAACTATTTGATATAAAAAACTATTTGCTAAAAGATTACTAGATCTGTCCAACAAAATCTGTAGAGTAGTCCAAGATCAACTTAACGCTTTTGTCCAAGATGATCTGTATTTTTTTTTTTTGATGCCAACAACATCTGTCC